CATTTATTAATTCAGTGGTGCGGCTATAATTAACAAGTTGAGGGTCCAAGGACAGAATAGATATTAGATGTCTTGATATTATTGTTTGTGAATATAATTTACGTGAAACTACTGCTGACTTGACGAGTAGATTTTTATATAGATTAGAATTATTGGGCAAATCATGTTTTCGCATTTTTAATATCAATCATTTGTACATAATGAATGTCTAAACTAAGAGATCATCAATGCAGGGATGAAAATAGACAAAGAATAAGCTAAAGGTTATGTAGTGCGAAAAATTATGCTGACAAAAAAATCGACAAGTAAACGAAGACCAAGGTAGTGCGGCTTCTAGTATCGACGCAAGCTTCTAGCGCCGTATTAAATTGGTTTGAACTCATCGTTCCAAATGTGGAATTCTCATACACTTCGAGGGTTCTCCCTGCTTCGGACGCATATTAGACCCTCACGGTTCGACTTCCACTAGGGGAGTTGATAAGACCTAGACGAGGTCGAAACTGAAGTCCATCCTGGATGAAAACAACCTTTGGAAAGCAAGGCTGTGAAATTCAATGGAAACGTCATGTCTACTCATGTCATTGTGGGACATTTTTACAAGTCCTTCATCACCTTAAACGAGATGGGATGAATACATCTCGTATAATAATCTTTACCTCAAGACAATCTTTCTTCGATTTCCAGTGAAGTCAATTCACGAGCCCCTTCCTCGTGAACTAGCTGTTCCTCATAGTTTTACTACCTTACTTGTTTAATATTTTTTATTCTTTGGAGACCTAACATGTATAAGATCCCTCTAAGCCTCCGAGTAAGGACGAGGTGTATCAGTCTAAACAAAGTCCTCCAACGACCCTTTTTCTAAGTTCGTGTTAGAAAGGGCTTTACCAGTTCAGCAGCAGCAAAGGACTGTGCTCACGCGAACTTCGGATCAATGCCATTTCCAGGTTGAGACTACGCAGCATCTAATCGTGACGCCTCTTCCAAGTTGCTGCAATACGTAGCAATCGTCTCGGTTGATCGGTTTCCAGTCACTTGCTCCATACACAGAAGCAGCAACTATTGTCTAACACAGCCATGTATACAATTCAAATCCATGGAGCCTGCACACTGCACAGACATGGAGTCCTATCTTATTCATCTGCCTCATACAATGTCTCTTGTGCCATACGGCTAAGCGTAATAATAGGGGAAACCTTCCAGAATATCATTTAACTAATTGGATGAATGTTGTTAGCGAAAAAACTAAATAATAAGAATAGAGTTACAAGATCATATGGGATAGGTATTGAGGGGCAAAAAGAAAAGGAAAATATTTTATTCGGTGTGTCAGAGAATGAGTGTGAAGATAAATAGGTAAAAATCGCTCTATGGACACATTTGGCCATGCTGATACAAAATTATATGATAGAATGTAGATTCCTCACTTAAGTCTCTCTCATTTACCCATATCTCGAAGGTAAGAGAGTAGTATCTGATTTTTATGGAGGGAAAAACAATATTTTAATTGGTCTTGCCTGGCTTGTAGCTGGGCTTGTCTGGAACGCGCACAGGAAATGGAGAGCTCCCATCTGCATCGTTGTAAAGCTGACAGCCAGCGAAATCCGCAACTGGAGCCAAGTAAGCGAACTGATCAAGCCAAGGCAAACTCGTGCTCTCTGAAGATAGAAAGATACAAAAACAATTAAAAAATGCATAATCTTGACGGGGTCATTAAAATATTAGTGTTGGGTTGATCACGTTTTCGCAACTTGGTCGGAGAAACAGGGAGACCTTGTGGAACTTGCCTAGTTCTGTGTCCTGTGCTATAGTGCTCGTGATTTTCAGCATCGGACTATTGACTTGGTACATATCCAGACGTTTCGCCGGCATCGTCAGTGAGAAGCGCCATCATTAGGACAGTTACAACATACCAAGGCGACAAGGCTAATTTTCCGTTTAACCGTTGTGTCATCGCTTCTCGCCCCTATTTTTTGTCCTACCTTATAGTGCTGTATCTCTGTTTAACAACCCCACTTCAGATCGTTCATTTACCAAGCGGCAAACGTACTATCCAGGTCGGTCGTGTTTTCTTCTTTCTATTTTTCCGATCAGCTATTACCTAAGCAGTTTGGACTCTTCTATTACGTGCAGCCATCAATAATTAACTATACTGTAATTCAGTTGGTTCTAAATATGACATTTGGTGATACGACTTTTCCTTTTCTCTCTCCGTCCCCGGGCATCCAACCTTATATCACCTTGCTGACTGCAAGCGTTTTATATTTTTATATAAAGCCCCCGTCCTCGGATCAATATATATCTATTCACACCATCATATGCTCTAGTAACCTCTAATATCACCCAATAGTGTTAATATAAATGAATTTAGTTAAGCGTAATCACCTTCACCAAAGGTGTCAGATGACGCTTGCAGGGCTTCTGGGTCATTGCATCTTCCATCTAGCCTCTTCTACTCCTTTGTACATTGGACGCTGCTGCACACTAAAATCACTATCTAGCTGCCTAGGAGCCCTTAATCCCCGACCCCGTTTACGTCATATTCAAGGATTTAGAGCAGGTAATGCTTATGCTCCAGGCCCATCACCCAGTTATCCTCTCATCCTCACCCACAGTGCATCTCATTGTCTGGGGCCCTATGTCCGGTTAGATTCAGAACCACTAATGTTAAAATGCAACGCTTCCATTTCCCACCCCTGAATAGTATAAAGCACACTTCTTTTATCACTAAGTTAGTAGTCCCATCTAATCCTAAGGTTCTAGTCAGTTATTCACGTGTACTTTACTTGGTATCTCCCCTAGTCAGGCTCGACATCAGTCACCTATCATGAAGGCACGCACACAGGAGATTAACTGATAGTATGCACATCAGGATGGTATCCACATCTTGATTGATTAGATAGGTACATATACCTTTGGCCTTACTCCTGTGAAGGTGTGTAATCTGCATGTTTTTGGCCTTTTGTTTCCTATCCCCTATCTTCCATCTTAAGGCGGGTCCACACCGGTAACTTCTGACTGGTTTCAGATTTTACTCCTTCATCTGCAATCGCATTCTCTTGACCAATTTACATGATAACAAATATTAACAGACAAAAAATTATTAACTCAAGCGAGTAATTGATAATACATATATCTTTATTTCAGCTTATCTTTGATAGAATCTTTGAAATGTATATTCAACAATATGTCCACCATCAAATTCAGTACACCACAGTACTCAGTCCCATCAGAAAAGTATGTATCTTTTCAGTAGTTTCAGCTACTAGTATGAAGACTAGGTGCTGCTGTTCTGCTCTGGATATTAACTTATGAGTGGATAAACCGCGGATAAATTCCTTAATCGATCATTTGATTGATTAAAATAAATATGAGTGTGATTTGGTGGTTCTGGCCATTTATGTAGTTCTAGAATAATACGATAGTAATTGTCATTGTCTACAACCCCATCACAATGTGAAAGTTGGCCAGTTAGTAAATCGCACTTAGGAAAAATCCTA